ATCTATGTATGTATGTATCTATGTATCTATGTATCCATGTATCTATGTATCCATGCATGTAGGTAGGTAGGTAGGTAGGTAGGTAGGTAGGTAGGTAGATATATATATATATATATATATGTAGAGAGTATAGTATGCCCCAAAAAACCTATGCTGATTATTTTTTAGGCCCCTACATTAGGGCTGTAGGGCTCCTCCTCTGCAACCAAATGCTTTGGGGCTCAAGGGTTTTGGGCTTCAGGGTTTCAGGGTTGCGGGCCTAGGGTCTAGGGCGTTAGGGCTATCTAGGGCTTTATAGGGTTTTATATAGGGCTTTATAGGGTTTTATAGGGTTTTATAGGGTTTGGGGTCCAGGGGTCCCCCGTGTGGAGATGTTGCGGGGGCTCCAAGTATTGAGGAAGATGGGGTTTAGGGTTGAGGGTTTAGGGTTTTCGGCGGGCTTTGTTTTGTGCCTTTACGAGTTCGTGCTCTGGGGGCTGTACTATAGGAGCCTTAGTAATTAGAACAGCTCCATTCTAATGTAGTTATAAATAAGGAGCCTTAAGAAATGGTATTGGTATTTTTTTTACATAGGGTTCCACAGTTTCATTGGGCTTGAAGTTACTGCTGCCACCACCACCACCACCACCACCACCACCACCACCACCACCACTACCACCACCACCGGCATCTGCTGTAGCAACAGTAAATACCAGCCTCAGCCCAGACAGAAAGCCCAGAAAACCTGACGAGGTAATCTTTAACTTTTCGGGTTTTCATATAATCCTACTATAATTGCAAAGGTGAACCTTCTTTGGGCTATGGTACTGAGCCCGTAAGAAACAGCCTTCTAAACCCTGAAAGCCCTAAACCCTAAACCCGATACCCCAAACCCTAAACCCTAAACCCTAAACCCTAAACCCTAAACCCCAAACCGCACAGGAATCCTACGCGTCGCGAAGATCACGCGAGCCTTTCGCATCGTTCGGCTCGTGCGCTTCTCGCCTTGGGTCGGGTCCACGTCCCCCAGACCCCTTTTCCTGAACAGGCCTTGAATTTGGGTTTAGGGTTTAGGGTTTAGGGTTTAGGGTTTAGGGTTTAGGGTTTCGGGTTTAGGCAGGGTTTGGGTCTTAAGGTTTAGAGGGGTCGGGTCCAGGTTGCCAGCCCCTCGAAACGCAGAGTCGAAGTAGAGTAAGTAGCCTTTATGGGCTGGCCTGGCCTGGCCTGATATAGATCTGAGTATTTTATGGTGTTATGGATCTGATACGGGTTACACGCTGCCGATTAGGCAAGACTCTTCAGGATCTTCACTCGTTTAGGTTTTGGGTTGAGGGTTGGGTGTGTGAGTTTGTGGAAGGGATCGAAGATTGGAGCTCCCCCAACACAAAGAAAAACAGGGTATCCTTCTAGTCCATGGCTTGAGAAAGGCCTTCTGGCTAGGGGGTCCAATTTGTAGTTCCTGCACGGGACCTTGATGGAGGGAAGGTTTAATCCGCTTAATCATGATTTTTTCTAGGCCCTTACGTATGCTTTTTCTACGGTTTTCAAGGTTTTCCAGGGCTTGATAGGGTTCTAGATCAAGTGGTTGTAGGATTTCGTTGGGTTTATAGGGGTTCGGCTGGGGTGTTTCGGGATGCAGAGTTGACCGTTACAGACTCCAAGTAGAGGTGTTTCATACTACGTCCGCTGAACCATTCATACAACGTGAAAGCATCCAAAAGCTTTAAACCAAACCCAAACACAGCCCTACAGAACCCTGAATGGAACCCTCGAGGGAGCCCTTCAAAGACCTCTGGGTATTGGGGCTTTAATGACAACTGGGTTTAGAACCCTAGTTGGAGGATCATGGGTTTAGTGTAGGGTTCATGGGACTTAGCAACTCGGGTTTCCGAGCAACTATAGTCAGCCTTTCCTCATTATGGTAATTTGTACCCCTAAACCCTAAACCCTAAAAATCCTCAACCCTAAACCCCTAAACCCTAAACCCGAAATTAAATCCCGTAACAAGAACCCAGAATGTGTGAAAGACCGAGGCTTCATCCGATCCTTGAGGACACTTCTACTTTGCAGCCCGGCTCGTTCGGGGTTTTAGGGTTTAGGTTTTCCTGGCGGAGTCGCAGCAGGCCAGTTGCAAAAAAGTTTTTGGTGTTTCGGAGTTTTGGTTTAGGGGTTTAGGGTTTGGGGCTTTGGGGTGTTTGGGCTAGTTTTGGGGTTTAGGGTTTAGGGTGTTAGGGTGTAAGACTCCTGGGATATCTGAGTATTCTTGCAACTTCTTGCATGTGCATACCCCGGGCAGCATGTCTGCATGTCTTCGTGTGCGTCTTGTATGGAAGACGGCATTTTAGGCATGCGTGTATGTATGCATTTTATGTATGTCAGTGCCATCACAGCAGGCGTGATTTGTGATGCTTTGTGTCGGTTATTCGGACCCTTTACGACGCACACGTGGGATGCATTTTGCCTGCCTCAACCTCCCCACGAAAATCTGCAAGACCCAGACTACATGTATAACTGAAGCAGTCTAGTCTCTTGGCCCTTAACCCTAACCGTTACACCCTCAACACTAATTCAAAAGCCCTAAACGCTAAAACCACACACTATACCCTAAATCCCTAAGCCAGCCAACCAACCGAATCAAACACAAGGCAGCAAAGCTTCAACCACGCCTCTTAGTTTCCCAATACCAAACCTTTAAACTTTTGGGGTTCTTATAATTTAGTAGTAAGTTGGGGAAGTAAGTAATAGCTTAAAAATCCAACTGAGATGCTTCTAACCTTACTTACTAAGTCCCAGGATCCTCCCAGTACCCAGAAGCCATTGCTATTGGTTGTGGAGTAGTTTCTTGAAATGGTCTTAGTTCCCCGATACCCAACCTTTAAACTTTTTGGGTTCTTACACTTTAGTAGCAACCCTCACCCTTAAACCCTAAACCCTATTTTATTTCCGTGGCTTATTGGGCAAGCAAGTGGATTGGGAAGCCTTAGACTGTTTTCGAAATGGTCCGGTGCTGCACACTGAATCTCCCGAACCCAAAACCCTAAACCGTAACCCCTAGACCTTAAATACTTGCACGCAGGGTTTAGGGGTTGAGGGTTTTAGGGTTTATAGGGCTTAGGGTTTTAGGGTATTAGGGTTTCGGAATCAAGGCTTTCAGGTTTTGAAGGTTTGGAAGGATCCAGACAGCAGGTAACTTTAAAGCTCGTATGGCCGTCCTGAAGGATCCGGGGACGTAGAAAGTAGGTACTAGGTCACATGTAAGTTTGTGATGTTACAAGTAACTCGATGAGTACACCTCGGTAGTAGAGGATTCCAAAGCTAGGGTTCGATGTCCTGAGTCGGTATAGTTGAGGGTTCGAGAAAGCCTACTCACGCGGCGTCAGCCGGATCTACCCTAAACCCTAAACCCGTATAAACCCTCCCTAAACCCTTATAAACCCCTAAACTCTCCCAACCACTAATCTCGGGCCTTGCAAAGTTCGACGCTTTCCGGCTGCTTGGTTTTCGACTTCAGGGTTGTTTGGGGCGTAATTTTCAGGGTTTTGAGCAGGTTTTTTCGGGTCTAGTGCCCTCAGTTCAACGATTTTTTGAGAATTTCAGGGTTTGGGGTATTAGGTTTTAGGTTTTAGTGCTTAGGGGTTTAGGGTTCAGGGGCGGGTTCAGGTTTTGGGGTGCAGGGTTACGGGGTTCAGGGCTCAGGGTGTGGACTTTAAGGCTTTAGGGTAAGGTGTTTAGCCCTTCGACGAGGAAACAGGTCCGGTCACAGCAGTTTTCCAAAATTGCAGATATTGCAACGCGGTTCTGAACCTTCCTTCAATTCCTTCAGACCGGAAGAAGTATGCACCAGGATCAAACTGGCACTGCAAGCCCTAAACCCTAAACCCTAAACCCTAAGTTTTATGCACCTGGGCCCTTCACCCTGAACCCAAATTAGGCGAACTACCCCTTCCCCCAAACCCTAAACGCTAAACCCTAAATATCGACACCTGTATAAAGACCCTAGCTTACAGTAGATCCCAGACCCCCAGTCCAAACACCCTACCTTTAGCCTGCATTGTAGTTCCTTCGTTTGATTCAACCAACTGTATAGTTTAGGGTTCAAGGGTTTAGAATTTAGGGTTTAGGGTTTAGATGTATAGTCAGGATCCTCTACGACAACCCCCAAAACCCGAAGTCCTATACCCTTAACCCTTTACTGCAACACCCTAACAGGAACTACAATGGAGACCATAGGTAAAGCCTTAAGGTTCCTAAACCCCAAAAGCGACAGACCCGAAACCCAAGAGGGTTTAGGGTTTTAGTGTCTAGGGTTTAGGGCTTAGGGCTTTTAGGCTTTGGGGCTTCGGGTTTAGGCCTTCGGGTTTAGGATTCTATGGTTTTGGGTTTCGTGTTTAGGGTCCCCAACTGAAAAAGCAAAGAAGCTCCAGGTATTGGGCGAACTCTTCGGGCCATGGCATGGTCTGCTGTTCTTCTGCTCTTGTATCTTGGCATCCGTCCGTCTTCTCGTGTTTTCCTTTTTTAACAGGGTATCTAGGGCTTAGAGGGCGTTTTGGGTGTAGGGCTCAGGCCGAATACCGTGTTTTTGCTCTTGCATCTTGTGGCGGGGTAAGTAGGTTGCAAACAGGCAGAATTCCACGTAGTATAGGCTAGAGGTGTCGGAAAATCGCTGACAGTAGTCCTTTGGGCTCTTTAACATCACACCAGTGCATACCCCAAAACCCCGCGCCACTTCTGAAGGCTCGTAGATTAAAACAGTCTAGCGGCACTTATTATCGACCCCGTAATAGAGGGGCTTAAACAATTACTAATACTAGTTGGGGGGATTCCTTACTCTAAATACAGTATAAACCCTAAACCCTAAACCCTAAACCCTAAACCCTAAACCCTAAACCCTAAACTAAATACAGTATAACATACCGCGAAGACTCCGTACACCGTTTTGGGAACCCTTTTCTCGGATCCTTATTGCAAGCATGGTAGTCCCTACACAATGGTATCATGTGTCGAGTTTGGGGTTTAGGGTTTAGGGTTTAGGGTTTAGGGTTTAAGGTTTTTTAGGGTTTGGGGTTTAGGGTTTAGGGTTTAGGGGTTTGGGTTCGGGTGTTCTGGGCTAGAGCTCGCGGCTCAAATTCTCGGGCCGCTTGTGAGAAGCGGGAATTAGCAAGAGATTGGGGTCTATGCTTTAGGGGAGACCTTAAGCAACCCTAAACCCTAAAAAACCTTAAACCCTAAACCCTAAACCCTAAACCCTAAACCTTAACTCATTCAACTCAAAGGGTTCAAAGGATCCAATCATTAGGTGCTTGGGTTTTGTCTATAGCTGTAACGTAGATTATTCCTAAACCCCAAACCCTAAACTTTGGGGGAGTATGTGAGAGTTAGTTCGTGAAGGCTCACATCTTCAGTCAGGTTAGGGATTTGTCCAAGATTTTGGGTTTAGGGTTTTGGGTTTAGCCTTCCGCACCCGAGACGGTTTGTGAGTCCTTCTGGGTATGGCAAAGGGTGAAAGACAACCCATAGCCTCTGGGCTGTCCATGTACCCATAGTACCTGTATAAGGACTAAGTATATGCACCCTTAACCCTAACCCCTAAACCGGTAGGGTATCCTGAAAGGAACCTATAGAAAAGCCTTAGGGGTACACGGACCCTTCGGGTGTGGGTTTGGGCTCAGGGTTCCCAAGCGAAGCCAAGCGTAACGCTTGAGCCCAAGTGGCTCACTGCACACTAGTAACCTTAAGGGTTTAGGGTTTAGGGTGTTTTAAAGGCAGCCGTAGTACCCCCTGATCCTTCCTAAGCCCTGAACCCTAAGCCTTAAATCCTCGACCCTAAATCCATCTAAATCCTAAACCCTAAACCCTAAACCCTATACCCTATACCCTATACCCGAAAGCCTCAGCCCGTACAGGATCATCTTCTTGTTCGGCCTGATCTTCACGGACATTTGCACCGAGCTCCCCGTCCGCAGTTCGGGATGGACTCAACTTAAACTGGATTTAAGGATTGAGGGTTTAGGGTTTAGGGCTTAGGGTTTAGGGATGGACTCAATTTAAACTGGATCTAAGGGTTGAGGGTTTAGGATTTAGGGTTTAGGGATGGACTCAGTATAAACTGGATCTACGGGTTGAGGGTTTAAGGTTTAGGGTTTAGGGATGGACTCAATTTAAACTGGATCTAAGGGTTGCGGGTGTACCTGAAAATGACGGTTTTCTTCGTCATCGGGAGTCCACGTGACATGCAAGATTGAGAGGGGGCCGGGCAAGTCTGCGGATCTGGCTTTTTGTCGATATCCCGGGTGTGACCCATCACATCTTCTAGAACTTGGATTTTTGGGTTGAGGGCGTCAGGTTTGAAAGGGGTTTTCGGTTTTGGACTCGAAATGGCTGATGAATATATCTGAGGGCAGCAACCCAAAAGACAGGGTTTCGGGTCTGTGACTCGATTTGCAGCAGTTCTATAGAGAGCACATGGTGGCAGACAGATTGCAAAAGCTGGCACACAGGTTTAGGCTTTCGGCTATTCCCGTTTGTAAGCCTTGCCGAACGTAGGCTATTATGGTTATTTGGGGGTTAAAAGTACGGTTTAAGCTTTGGTGCTTCTTTGCAGGTTCCCAATTATAAACCCTAATATAGCATTTACAGGGACCCTAGAACAAATAGGTTTTGGTAATTTGCTGCCGGCTTTAGGTGACAACACAATGAGCCATTCAGCACACCCAAGGTTTCTCTGCAACTTGCCACAGTGGACCATTCCCAAAACCCTAAACCCTAAACCCTAAACCCTAAACCCTAAACCCTAAACCCTAAACCCTAAATCATTATCGGGGCCGACATACTTATGGGCATTGGGGGAGATGTTACGGTAGTTATAATAGGAACGGATAGGAACCCTAAGGAAGAATATGTACTTAGAATAGCAGTTCGGGGGAAATTGGTTTAAGGTTTAGGGTTTAGGGTTTAGGGTTTAGGGTTTAGGGTTTAAGGTTTAGGGTTTAGGGTTTAGGGTTTTAGGAGCCCCAAAAGCGGAGCAATATTGGTGTTTTGGGCTCCTGACTCCGATCCCGAGCCTAAGCCGAACCTCTAAACTCAAAGGCCCTCATCCCTGAACCCTAAACCCTCATCCCTGAACCCTAAGCCCTCATCCCTAAACCCTAAACCCTGATCCCTAAACCCTAAACCCTCATCCCTAAACCCTAAACCCTGATCCCTAAACCCTAAACCCTGATCCCTAAACCCTGGGGCTTAGCGTTTAGGGTTTAGCCACCTCCGCAACCTCAGAGCCTCCAGCCCCACTTGGAGGATCGGGGTTCTTAGGGTTTAGGGTTTAGGGTTTAGGGTTTAGGATTTAGGGTTTAGGGTTTAGGGTTTAGGGTTTAGGGTTTAGGGTTTAGTCCCCAACGCCCAACCTTTAAACCTTTTGGGCTCTTATAAGTTACCCAAAGGGTCCAAGTTATAATATAGTATATACTTTTGGGGCCCAAATACCTACAAAGTAGCTACCAGATTAATACTTGGACCCTTTGGGTGAGTAGTAATCTCAAAGTTTTACCTTTCATTTCCCTGGCTTACTGGGGAAGTAAGTTATAAGTTAGGGGCCTCATGAAGAAACCCAAGGGTTCTTATCAGCTTAGAAGACTCCGAATATTTTTTGGGTTATACGGCCAGGGTTTCTTCATCAGGTTCCTACATTACGCACCTTAGCTGGAGTCCTAAGTACGTATATCTGGGTATGTTACATATAACTTAGCTACTGCGCCCCATGATCCTCTATGCGTACAAAATCGAAGCCCTAAACCCGGCTTAATCGTCATAAACCCTTGGAGAAAGCTTTTTGTAAGCCCTCAAACCCCCAAAGCCCTAAAGCCCCATAAATCCGTAATGCACCCGTACCAAGAGCCCCTTGAAGAAACCTTTTGTTAAGCCCTCAAGCTCCCCAAGGCCCTAAAGCCCTATAGATCCGCATGCAACCGTACCAAGAGCCCCATGACACCCTAAACCCTACACCCAAAACCCTAGACCCTAAACCCTAGACCCTAAACGGTAAATCCCAAACCCTAGACCCTAAACCCTAGACCCTAAACCTTAAACCCCATACCCTAGACCCTTAACCCGAAACCCGAAACGCCCAAAGAGCCCCCAAGAAGCGCAGGGCGCTGAACACAGAGCCGAGTGAGCTTCACCCGGACACGGAGACTTGGCGTTTCTTCTGGTTGGCTCTTAGGACTTTAACTTTTGGGGTTTAGGGTTTAGGGTATGAACTATAACCCTAAGGGTCCAAGTACCCATTATTTAAGGACTTTGGGGCCTTTTGGGGTACCTAAAACCATAAATAAGGATTACCTGGACCCTTAGGGTAATAAGTGGGCTAAAGGCTTAACTTTCAGGAGGGGTTCAGAAGTCGACCAAGGAGATCTTTCTCACGAAGCGCTGCAGCTCCCCGGCTTTTTTAGTGTTTAGGGTTCAGGGTTTAGGGTTTAGGGTTGGTTTCGGATTTGGATTTAGGGTTCAGGCCGGTTTAGGGGTTTAGGGTTTCGGGGTTTAGGGTTTAGAGGCGAGGTTTCTAAGGTAGGGGTTTAGGGTTTAGGGTTTAGGGTGTTTAGGGTCTAGGGTCCAGGGTTTAGGGTTTAGGGTTTGGGGCGTGTAGGGCTTCTAATTCTAGAGTTTAGCGACTGGCTTAATTAAAGAGTTTCTGTCTTGATTATAGAGTTTAGGAACTGTCTTGAGTACTTTTTGCCTGACTGGTGTCATGCTTACCATGATGTCTCATGAGCTCCACCACCAGCCTAGGGCAGTTTAAGACCCCTCATGCCACACCCCAATTCCCGAACCCTAAGCCCCAAGAGCCCGAAAACCCTGAACCATGTAGAACCCTTAGCAGAAACCCTAAGCACTTGAAGGTCATGGAAACACTGACTGAAACCCTCACACCCCCTGAACTGCTAGACCCCCTAAACCCCTTAGAAAATCAAGCCGGCGTGACGAGGCTCTTTAGAGGAGTCGATGCATACCTTGCATCGCGGCAGAAGCTTTTGGTGGCTGTGGGTTTATATAGTGTTTAGGGTTTAGGGTTTAGGGTTTAGGGTTTAGGGTTTAGGGTTTAGGGTTTAGGGTCTCTTTGACGCGTTCGACAAGCGTACGTTTGGAATGTCGGGCTAGGGCCCAAAACCTTAACCCTAAACTCCTCAACCCTAAGTCCCAAAACCCTTAACCCAAAACCCCTAAACCCTAAACCCCAGGGTTTAGGGTTTCTTGTTTTGGGTCTTCGGGTTTTGGTCATGATCTTATGAGTTCATGGCCGAGGTTTAGGGTCAGGGGTTCAGTTTGGGGGGTTATGGTTTGGGTTTTTGATCTTACCTAAACCCTATATTTGGGCTTAGATTATGAGCCCTTCCGAGTGACCATCTTAAATCCGTCTAAGGGCGTAAAGAATTACCAGTACTATCTTGGGGTTCCTTATTATGATGATAGTACAATATACCACCAAGCCCGATTCTAATGATTCTGATTAAGGCCCCTACAGTAATCGTAAGATACCTAAAGCTTAAACACCCTAATCCCTGAGCTCTAAGCCCAACTCGACGCTGGGGATATCTTTCTTGGAAACTCCATTTTTTGGATGAACCTTAAACCCGAAACCCTGAAAATCCAAACCCTGCAGCCAGAAGCCCCTCTAAACCCTTGTAGTAGAAGCTAGAAAAGTTGGAACATTATTATCCCCAATGCCCTGAAGGAAAAGTCGAGGGGATCCTAACACTATTCCTCCTGAGCTCATGTTCCAACTTTCTGGGATTCGCTGTGACCCCTTAACCCTGCTTAAAGGATCTGGGTTCGGCGCTCGAGTCACTGATGTACTTGGTTCCCCAATACCCAACCTTTAAATTTTTTGGGTTTTTAGAATTAAGTAGTAACCTGAAAGTTTAACCTTCTAATTATTGCCCTGGCTTATTGGGGAAGTAAGTATAGGGTTTAGTGGTTTAGGGTATAGGGTTTGGGATTCCATTTACGGGTGTATATAAGGTGTAGGGTTTAGGGCTTGCGGTTCAGGGGGGGCTGCCGTTTTGTGTTTACGCTTTTTGGGGTTTCCAGTTCCGAAACAAAGCGATACATGTAAGAAAGCTGTCTACGGTGTAGAATCCAGAACGAGCAGTTCTATAAGCTGCAAAAACATTTTTTGGGTTGAGTAGTTGGCAAAGGGGTAGCAGTGTTTTAAGGTTTGTTAACACCCTACAGATACCTTTCACGGAGCCCTGATTGAGAGCGGAGCACTAGGATCCCATAAGTGCTATTCCAGAAAAGCCTGTATTGTGAGGTGCTTGTGTTTACATGGTCTTTGTAACTTGTGCGCAACACCCTAGACCCTGAACCCTAAACCCTAAACCCCCAACCCCTAAACCTTAAAAACCTAAACCCTAAACCCTAAACTCTAAACACAAACCCGTAAACCCTAAACCGTAAAGTCTAAACCCTGGGCCCCTCCACCAAAAACCCACCATCGACCCGAAATGCAGCACCTCTTTTCGAAGACCTCCGAGACACTGACACAGAAACTGAACATCTCCCTGGCTCTCAAACCGGGTTTGGGGTTTAGGGTTTAGGGTCTAGGGTTTTAGGACTATTGGTGTATTGGGTTTTAGGACTACTATACAGTAAACCCCAAAAAGTTAGAATCCGGATTCAGGACAAACAGTGCTGGGATTCCCTATACCTTACTTATTTAGGATTGAGGCTATTGGGTTTCCAAACCCTAAACCCTAAACCCTAAACTGCAACTTAGTAAGACCCAACCTTTAAACTTCTTGGGTTCTTACACTTTAACTTAGCAGTAATCTCTGAAAGTTTAGCCTTTTATTTCCTTGGCTTATTGGGGAAGTAAGTTTAGAGTTTAGGTTCACTTTGGTTTAAGAAGCCATTTCTCTTTAAGTCTTTGGGGTTTCAAAGTAGTTTACGAGAAAGCGCACCCTACCCGCTTCCCTTTCAATCCCGATACAGCAAGAGCAACATTCGCCACAAGGCCATCAACCCTAAACCCTATACCCTAAACCCTACACCCTAAAGCCCAAATCCTACACCCTAAATCCTAAGCCGCTAATTATCTATCAAGGCCCCAATACTTTTAACCCCAGGTTTGGCTCCATCACCGGCGGTTTCACATGGATGGAGGCATGATGCTTTAGGGTTTAGGGTTTCAGCGTTGCTCCAGAGTTGGTTGGCTGACGTTCAAGAGCATTGGGTTTAGGGTTTAGGGTTTAGGGTCTAGGGTTTAGGGTTTAGGGTTTAGGGTTTAGGGCTCCTTTTGAGGCTACTATAGAGTTGTAGAGGCCTAGGATTCCTAAACCCCTGAACCCTAAGCCCTTTTGGAGTTTCCTGGTGGGGACTTGCTGTACGCAGTCGGAAGAGGGCCCGTTAAAACCAAGAAAACCTCTAAGTTAGGGTATAAGGTGCTTACTAATAGGCCCTAAAGTAGTTCCTTTTTGGTGTTCATATATAGAATCCTATAAGGTAACCCCCCAAAAAAGGAACTACTATGGGGCCTATGGGTACAAACTTTCTGGGCCTTTATACGGCAAGGATGGGAGAACTTCCTTATATACTAGGTCTATCCGAAACAGTTTGAACTTTTGTTTGGCCTGGTTGTTGAAGAAGAGAGTACAAACCTACCTTTTTAAGGTTCCTTATTATGGCTTCTTTTCATAAGTCCTTAGCAAGGTCAGCTCTTTGGGTTTAAGCTTAGTTCCCCAGTACCCAACCTTTGAACTTTTTTGTGTTCTTCTATTTTAGTAGCAATCTGAAAGTTTATCCTTCTATTTCCTTGGCTTATTGGGGAAGTAAGCTTTGGGGTTAAGGTAGGCCTAAACCTCAAACCATAAACCCTAAACCCAAACCGTAAACCCGAAACCCCAAACCGTAAACCTTGAACCCCATCCGGCTTGCGACGGAGCTGCAAGTACCTACACCCTACCTTAGGGTTTAGGGTTTGGGGTTTACGGTTTGGGGTTTAGGGTTTACGGTTTGGCTCCGGAGCCTCATCCGGCTGCCGACTTCGGAGTGTTCGCACGCCATAGCCCGGTTTAGGGTTTAGGGTTTAGGGATAATTTAGTATGATGAGTCCCCCAAAACCCTAGTCTAATTATATATTAAGGCCACTATATTCGTCCCTGGCTCACTCAGTCGTTTGTGTGGAAGGCATCCCCGTTTACAACCCAAAATGCTGCGTAATCGGCCATCAAGGCACCAGACTGTACACATCCGTACACCGTCAGAGAATTGCCAAATCTGGTGGTAGTCACCACAAGGATCTTTCCAACAAGCATGAGAATGCTCGGCAAACCTGGGATGTGTTGTATTCCGTAGTCGGCTATCAAAGCACAAGACAAAGTACAATCAAAATCAATTTGGAATGTATGATTCGAAATCGGACCTAAGAATTGCAGGATCTTCCTCATGGGCATCGGATGAGGCATCCCTATAGCCTATATACAAAGATGCTATAAGAAAGATGGCAAAACGCCTTCATGGGTTCGATATCGGGACATCAAAGCAGCTGCCATCAAATCGTAGCATCATGGCCGCCGGACCTCCACATTAAAAGGAAAATCGTTTTTGCATCAGTCGCCCGCTCAGGAACTGCGAGGTCAGGATACCGGAGAGCAGCTCGTCGTTTGTGCATGACCTTTCTCAGTTTGACTTGCAGTAGCTGCCCGCTTTCTGTTTGATGATCCAGATGCCCTCGCCTGACGAGCCTCTGTTCTGCTTGAGGATGCGTGTCTGGAAAGCCAACTCCCGTACCGTGTAGTGTGCGAGCATGGCCTCCAAACCAATGTTGAACATGGCCACCTTTCGCAACGTGTCCTTCGTGCCCATGAACGCCATTACATCGGGTGAGGGGCCAAATCTGAAGGCCCAGGTGTGCGTCCTTCCTGCGCTGCATGACCGAAGCACCCCTTTGCGGCGGGTGCTGGGCGATCTTCCGTGTTATGCGGCAATTTGGGTCCTTTTTCGGGTTCCTTCGTATAGCTATGCGAAAATCTACCCCGCGCACCTTTCAAAACACGAGGCCCCATAACATGCCGAAATGACGAGGGAACATTGCACGTGGGGTTGATAAGTAAGAGACATTACCCCAGTCAAGGTCTTGGGGGGCATCTCTTTATCTCGCGGGTTGAAACTATAAGTCGATATGCATCGACGAGCTTGCAAACGCACTTCAAGCAGCCACTTCTATTTGTGAACGATCGTTTTGTTCCATGCTTCCGGCAGCGTCCACAGTGGAGGGTTGATGTTGCATATGTGGACTCATCTTGCGCACTTCCTTGGAATTTCCCAAATGCTACGAAGCCGACCTTGTCGCTCTGGGTCTCCCGTGCTTTTCGATTTGCAGGGCTTCGATTCACGCGACAAGACGCAGCGTCTACTCGGAGATTCGGTGCCATAGTGTTCTCCACATTGCAATGAAAAGCGCTTGAAACCCCAGCGGTCGCAACACGTCCTGAAAATAGAACTCACGCGATTTGGAGACTACGAACAGCATCCACGCGGGGCTTAGCATCTACTGATGCAGATTTCGCCACTGATATGAAATTCGCTGAAGCAGCATCCACGCTAGGGTGAAATCGCCGACTGATGTGAGATGACAAATCCGACGCTTGAGTTTATAGCATTTATAGACTATAAATGCTATAAACTCAAGCCTCTTGGATGCTTCTGGCTCTTGCCAGCTGCTGTTGCCTGGGATAAAGTCAGAGATTCGGCGACATGATTGCGCGGCAGGCGGCCTGCCATATGACCCAATTAACTACACAAGGTGCCGTGCCGATGAGCAAGCTGATTCAAGAAGCCCCGGCAGCGCATTTGCAATCACGCAGGCGCAAACTGGAAGACCACATCGAGGAACTGGAGCTGGAGCTCGGAGTCAATCACCAGAACTTGATGAAGGTCTCTCGGCAGCTTGCTTTCCTGGCCGAGAGGCAATCCAGCTGAGCACATGCGGAGGCCTCCCCAAGCAGACATTCACTTTTGGGGGCCAGCAAGGGCCGAGCACAAACAGAGGCAGCGACTGACTGTTTTGATGAAGTCCCCAGGTCCCCAGGTCCGACTCAAGGTGGTCCCTGCTACTGCTCGTCTCCCGCGATGGAATTTGCCAAAAGTCCCCTCCCTGTTTTAGGTGGAACTCCGTCTTCCAGTTGCCATCAAATTATCCTGACACGGCTCGGAGAGTTTGCGCGCGTGACGTGAACGGGCAATGTGTGTTTGGACGCCATGACAGCATTCCTTTGCGATGTTTTAGGGTTTGATGGTCTCGAGGCTCCGCGCCGGCCCGGCCCTTTTCCTCAGGAGTTGGCAAGGCACGACTGATGAACTAGATTTATAGGCAGCGCAATGTCTTTGCAGGCAGGTCCGTAGTGGCACTCAGGCCCTCAGGTCCTCAGGTCCCCAGGTGCCCAGGTACAAGTCGTGTCAAGTCCTTTTCGGCTTGGGCGTCGGGACAGTGCAAGTTTCACCCTTTCCGAAGAAGTCAGCAGCGAGCAGCGGACAACTTGCGGCTTCGGGTGGAAGGCTGTAAGCCTCATGGTCTACGGCTTCAAAGTTGAATGTCTAGCTTGCTCAGGATGTAGGGTTTCGGGCTGAGTCTGAAGCCATTGATTTGCACAGCAGCGCAAGTCGGAGCCAAGTTTCAAGTCGGCAGTCGGCAAGGTAGGAGTCAGGATTTCGGGGTTCTTGTGAAGGCCTCGGCTTTAAAGTTTTTCGCAGGGGCTGGGGGCTCAACCCAGAAGTCTATAGCGGTACTCACAAGCTACCTGCACTTCCCTTTGATCCGTTAAATACATCTTAAGACCCTAAAATTGCTGTAGGACCCTATACATCCGTTGTGACACCATATGGGTAGTTTTCAAAATTAGGGTCCCTTGTTAGGTCCCCATTATAGTACGGCACCCTTATATCAAGGACCCCAAAAGGGAGCCTAATTTAGAGAACTACCCATATAAGAGCCGTTGTTAAGGCCTCTGCATTCCGCCTGCAGGCGCGTGACGCCTTTGCGGAGATCTCGTGGCTATTCGGTGCCGAGCCTTGAAATGGACAAGCAAGAAGATGGGGTCAATGTAGGGTTTAGGGGTTAGGGTTTAGGGGTAATTTTGTTGATCCATCAGCCGATGCCGGCCGATGCCCCACATATATACACAATTCTATACTGCACTGCGTTGCTGCTTGCCTAAAACTTTAAAACCTAAATTCCCTGTCGAGTTAGCGAGCGTCTCCCTCAGTGCTGGTTCCACATCCGATCTTCACAATCTGCTACTAGTAGCCAAGCAATTATCACTGCCTAATTTGTTTTTGTCGTTGCTTCAAATGGGAGACTTTTCGATGCCCGCAGGTTTCGACTTGTTCACCCGTGACGAACCAGTTGGAGAAACTGTCTTGCGAGTTGCGGATCAGCACCAAGTCAGCACCGAGCCCAGGTTGGCTTTTCGAAGTGTACATTGCATTCTGCAACTTCGCTGTGCTTAATGCATCTTGGCTGCAGCTATGCTAAGCATTTCACATCGAATATATAAGGGTTGTTGCTTTGGAATATAGCTTCTGTTGCGCATCTGCTGTTCGCCAAGTGTGGGACTAGTGCATTGGTGTGCTGGCCAACATGTAAAGATGGAGATTGGTGGCTGTTGGATTTGCATAGCTTGTAAGCATCCCGTTGGAGGAGGGCGACAATTTTTCTGCATGATTGAAACCCTAATTTGACAAAACATATATCGAGGAAATTGGGCTGTGTGGCGTTCGAAGGTAGAGCCTTTGAATTTCGTTTTTGTGCGCTGCTTCAGGCGACTTCGGCTTTCGTGTTTAGTTTGTGGACAGGATCGGCCTGACAACACGAATGCATCTCGATGGCGAATGTGCTGCGTGCGAAAGGTCCCGGCTGCCCCGTGCAATTTGTGGTGAAAATTTGCAACTCGTGCTTCAGAGTTTTGTTCAGAAACCCGCCGAGGTCATGACTGGTGTGTTTTGTCAGCTACTCGGCAGCAAGCTGGGGTGTCTTCTAAACTGTATTTTCTTGTTTATACAGACATGTACTCATACATGCACTGTGGGGTCTTTCAACACATCCCAGGTCAGCAATCGAGTCTGCGGAAAAGGACACGCGGCTTCGCCATGTCAAAAAACAGCATGTTGGAGGAAGTTCAACCAACAAATTTTCGTTGTTCTAAACCACACGAGTTGAATAAACACACCTATACGAGTGCGATGGAGCTAGCGTTGCTACACGTTTGAGGACAGTAAGGGTCGTAGGCTTCAGATTGCCATCGCGATCCCAAGCATTCTTCACAGACTGTTCGTGATGAGGGCCTGCTTTGAACAACTCGAAGTTTGGAAACATGTCTTGAGACTTCATCGGTCCCCCCGGTCGATTTAATGGCCTAACCTAGTTCCTTCTCTCGGCAGGTGCACGGGCACCAGACTGTTCGATGGACGCTCGAAGAAGCATCTCTACACTCTACATGGCTTTGTCGCACAAAAAGGGCCTACCAAAACCCGAAGTTGTCGGTTGTTTTGGCCCCTGCAGTCTGCTAGCAGCTGAGAGGTCTCGTGACAACGAGCGAGTACATAGCAAAGAAGACTCGCTCGTCAATTTGCTTGTGGCCCAAACCCCAAGTCCTGCAGTAGTCGTCGGGCAGGTAACCTTTACATTGCCCGTGTAGTGTCATCCCTACAGAATTGGAAAGGTTAGCCTCTAGCCCCCCAAGAAACTAGACAAGAGGGCTTTGATTCCGCGATGTTTGTTTTCTTTTATACGCCCTAACTTCCTAACCACTGAACCCCAAACCCAAAACCCTAAACCCCATAGACATGTGGGAGTCTCCGAAAACAAGGGATACCGTATTTTGCGGTCCTTATAAGGATCCTACTATTTAGGGTACTATATTAGGGTCCCCTATTTTCGTAAACCCCCAAAACCCTAAACACCATAGACATGTGTGGCAGGACCACGAGTTGAACCTGCAAAACGTTTCGGCAGAGCCGCTTGGCAACATTCGAGGTTTCGGCAACGAGTAGGGTTTAGGGTTTAGGGTTCAGGACTGTCAGTTTTGGGGTTGAGGGTTTTAGATGTTGGGTTTTGGCTTGGCTTAGGTTTAAGGTTTTAGAGTTTAGGCCAACTAAACCCCAACTTTTAAAACCCCATAGGCCTAAACATCAGCCTCCTCCAATCTCAGGAAGGAGAAATACTTCCGTGCTGTCCGGCGGCTTTTCACCACCCTCGATCAGAACTCCGATGGAGGTGGGTTTACACAGGAAGTTTTCTAATCTACGGTCCCTTTACAGGCTTCACTTAAGGGTTCCTTCAAAGGGGATTAGGGTTCAGGGTGTGGTTTTTGAGGGTAGAAGTCAGAATTAGGGTCCTGTTTTAGGTCCGCCAAAAAGTCCGGCACCCTTGTAAAAAGGGCCCCAGTTGGGAGAATTACCCCTGAACTGTGGGTCTAGTCTTAAAAGTCTAAAGTGTTTAGGGCTGCACAGGTTTGGTATAAGCAAGGTTTTGTGTGTGTGTGTGTGTGTGTTTGGAAAGGGTTCCCATAGGACAAATCTTCAGAATTTTGCGCCATTTCGGCTGTTTTTCGGGTTTAGGCTTCGGGCGAGGGTTTTAGACTTTGGGTGGTTCTCTAAATTAGGGTCCCATTTTAGGTTCCCGAAATAGTACGGCACCCTTATAGATGGGAACCCAGACCCTAAACCCTAAACCCCTAAACCCCAAACCTCTAAACCCCTAAACCCCTAAACCCTAAACCCTAAACCCCTACACCCTAAACCCTAAACCCCAAACCCCCACACCCTAAACCCTAAACCCCGAACTTAAAGAACCATTCAAGTGATGGGCTTGTGGATTCAGGTCTGGGGCTCAGGAATCCCTGGAGCGGAAAGCAAAATCCCTGAACCCCTTTTCGGGTCTAGGGTTAGGGTCTAAGGTTAAGGGTTAAGGGTTTAGGGTTTAGGGTTTCGATAAGGGGTTTAGGGCTCAATGCTTATATTGCCCCTATAAATCCCTTAAAGAAGCCCTTAAAGGAACCCAGCCCAGCTTAGGCACCGCTTTGGCTGCCATGATGCAGGATCCAGCTTCCGTCAGCCATGATGAATTTCATGAGGCTTCTGAGGGTGCGAACAGCAACAACCGGGTCGACTGGAACTTCAAGCGGGGCGGTGACCTACCTGGATTCAAGTTGCTGGGCTCACATGCAAAGCAGACTTCAAGAGAGCAGCTTGCAGCGACACGCCAGCCTGCTGCAACTCAGAACACGTCCGGCAGCCTAAACCCTGCTTGGAGGATGAGGGGACTTCGGAAGTAAGGTTATGAGTTAGTTGTAAGTACCCCAGTTGAGGTTATAAGTAACTATCAATATAGCTACCCCGTGTGTAACCCTAGGTACAAAGTCCCATGATTCTCAAAGTAAGCCAAAAAGCCGCATGCGCTTAATTCCCAGCCCTCAATCTCGACTTTTGAATCGGCGCCGGGGCAACTTTCAAGAGCGACTACTCTAGGGGCCCTTCAAGAGCCGTATGTGCACAAGAACCCAAACCCTAAGCCCTAAACCCTAAACCCTTTTGGGATTAATTCGGGAGCCCAGTGCTGTTTGAGTTCTTATGCTTTCAGTCCAATGCTACGCTCACGTCTAGGATCGGGATTTAGCGCTGAAGCCCCACAGCTGTCACACTTGACCCTAAACCGGCTTGCTTTTACAACAACCCTAAACCCTAAACCCTAAACCCTAAACCCTAATTCAGCTCCTGGAAGCCAGTACCAAAAGCCTATACAACAGCTCGCAGGCATCACTAAGAATGAGTTTGAGCAAGCCTGGGACAATCCTGTGTTGCAAACGGCCACTTGGCAAGCGAAAAGTGCAGGCTCAGGGGTTACTTGGAGGATCATGGGACTCAGTAACTAGGGTTATAAATACGGTAACTATAGTTATAATGACTTATAACCCCAAATAGGGTACTTATAACCTTACTTACTACGTCCTTGATCCTCCAAGTAGGGTTCATGAGCAGGTCGTGGGTTGGGGGCATCGCCTTGGGCAAGAGAGCGGTTTATCTGCAAATCCTGAACTTTTTACAAGGGTCAACGCCTGAGGAAGTAGGTAAAGGGTAGAGTTCTATTTAGAAGTAGCTTTAAATAACCTTAATTTAAACAGCTCCCCCTGATCCTTTCAGGAAGGTAAGCTCCTGACCCTATAAACCGGCAAAACACCTACACTCCTAAACCCTCAACCATATGCACTGTAAAACAGGGAGTTTATTGAGCAGCCGCCAAGATTGTATGCTAACTCCTTCGCTGTTTCTGGTGTTGATTTGACAAGACTTGTAATCTGTCTGATCTTGCAACCTTACAAATCTTGTAGAGCGCATAGAAATGTAATCCAGGGGCCTAAATACTACCTATACCATTTTTTGGGGGGTTCCTTAATACTAGTACTAGAATATACCCAAAACCCTATGCTAACCATTAAGGCTTCCATATTACTTGGAGGATCATGGGACTTAGTAACTAGGGTTATAAATACGATAACTATAGTTATAACTACTTATAGCCCCCAATTCGGGTACTTAAAACCTTACTTACTAAGTCCCCTGATCCTCCAAGTAGATGTTTCCAGCGCCTCCAAGTCGAGTTTAGCCTGACGGGCCTAAAGAACTACCAATACTATGTTGGGGGGCTCCTTCTTATAATTAAGCTATAATATACCCCAAAGCCACATTCTAACTATTAAGGCCTGTGCTGTAACACTTGCGGCCAGCAAACCCCTGAGCTCAGACATGACAAGTAGGTTTAGGGCTTAGGGGTTTTAGGGGTTTAGGGCTTAGGGGTTTTAGGGGTTTAGGGCTTAGGGGTTTTAGGGGTTTAGGGCTTAGGGGTTTTAGGGGTTTTAGGAGTTTTAGGGGTTTTGGCTTTAAGGTTTAGGCTTTAGGGTTTAGGGTTGCAGGTTTAGGCGAAGCAGTGTTATCGTGGTATCATGACAAGCTTGCTTTTGGGTTTAGGACTGGGTGACGTCTGCAGGCAAGTCAACACCAATATAAAGCATGGTCTTCATTTCTTGGGTTTATGTGCTGTCTGGAAGCCAGGCATCAGAGCTTTAGAGCAGGTCTGCTGAGTGTTTGGGGTTGTGGTTTTGGGTATTTCCAAGAACTACGTGGGGCCTAGTAACTAGGGGTCCTTGGGGTCATCATGCAATGGTTCCTACTACAGGGTTTGATTACGGGCCTGCAACTCGGAAACTCCCATTTCCTACTGTGAACTGGTAGTTGCGTTCTTCCTGTGACGATTGCTGCTGAAACCCTCATCGCCGAAGAGCCAAAGCTCTTCATGGCTCGGCTCCTTTGCACCCGAGCGCTGCAGCACACTACGGTTGATTATATGATCCTGCATTACCGATAACAAGGAATATGCCATATTTCGCATAGTTTAGTCGGGTCCTTAAGGTATTGCAGGATTTATATCATCAACCGTAGAACACGATTTTGCCGGGTTTAGGGTTCCCATGCTCTCCTTCAGTTTTTCAGGCATGCTGATGTTGTTTTTTGCTCTTCAATGCAGTGCCCTACACCCTGAACCCTAAACCCTAAACCCTAAACCCTAAACCCCTTCTTGCTAAGAGCTTATAAGAACACCACAGGAGCCCTGGAAAGCCGCGTCGAAGCCTATCAAACGCCATAAACCCCTAAACCATAAGACCTTAACCCCAAACCCTAAACAATCAAGCTTCCCCTAAACCCTAAACCCTAAACCCTAAACCCTGAAACCCTAAACCCTAAACCTTACTCCATAAACCCTTAGCCTTATCTTAATCCTGAAGCCCGGAACCCTCGACGCCTACAGTATTCCGCAACCCATAAGCATTGCAGAAATTTGCTGAAAATCCCATGAAACACCACAAGTTCCTATGAAACCCATACAATACCCGAAGCAAAAAATCACCGAAAAATCCTTCGGGAGCATCCTCAGGTCTTCGACGCGCTGGAGATCAGTGCCTTGAACACGAGAACCTTGAAAGGCCCCTTTATGGGGTAGTTCTAAGGAGTCACTGATAGAGGGTTCCTGTACTTAGTTCCCCAATGCCCAAGCTTTAAGCTTTTTGGCATCTTATAACTTAGTAGTCAGGGGTACTTCTAAAGGTTTACTGATAGAGGCTTGATAGAGGGTTCTTTGAAGGGTTTAGGCTTTAGGTTTAGGCAGGCTTGCCCTTCTCAGGATCCCAATACCCTACCTTTAAACTTTGTGGGTTCTTATAATTTTGTAGTAACCTGAAAGCTTAACCTTTTATTTCCCTGGCTTACTGGGGAAGTAAGTTTATGGCGTTCTTCTAAACGGTTACTGATCGACGGTTCCTTTAAGGGTTTAGGGCTTAGGTTTAGGCAGGCTTTCGGGATTTAGGGTTTAGGGGTTCGGTAAGGGGTTTGTCGGTTTCTATATGGAGCCATAACCCGGATGCTCTAAGCCAGGCTTTTACAGTATATTCTATTATACTTCTCATGAAGAATCCGCACGAAAACATATGTAGCCTAAACCGAAATCCTTCACCCTAACCCCCCCAATGGCCCGCAACTCAATGCCCTTAGACACTGCAGGATATGAAACAACCATAATAACGGGAAGCTCTAAAAACCAGCGGTTTGCGAGGCCCGGTGAACCCTAAACGCTTGAACCCTAAAGCCCCTAACCCAACAACCCTAAGCCTGTAAAACCCCACCACAAAACTACAGCCCCTAACCCTCAGCCCCACCATGCCTGCGTGAATCTTAACC